TCTCTCTATTTATATCTGATTTCATCCGTTTCTTTGAAAACCGGAATATGGTGGGTGTTAGATTGGACGAAATTGCTCACCTTGTATGCCTGCTCTTTGCTGATGACGTAGTAATTCTGGCTGGCAGCTATAGGGAGGCTCAGAGGATGCTTAACGTTTTATCTGATTACTGCTCCACTAATAAACTGTCTGTAAATGTTAATAAGACTATAATTTGTAAACAAATGACCTCTGGCAGACGGATCCATGTCTGCTTTTGTTCTTTAATTTAACGAAAAAAGTTTTAATTTTGTTTTAATACAGCAATTATTATTATTATTATTATTATTATTATTAATTTTTAAGGGCGTTTTAACGGCTAAGGTCATTTCACGCCCTAAAGCAATTATTATTATTAATATTATTGTGGTATCGATGTGCAGGCCCGATATTGCATAATTTTGAAGAACTTCCTTAAGTTCTAATGGTTTGGCGTTATGTGAAGCAACTTTTTAGAATACGGACCAATTTGTTTTCTACATGTTTTCTATTCCTGACTCCAGAATTTTATTTCCTCCATTACATACGATAACTAATGTTTTTTAACGTTACAAACAAAACTAACTAGGAAGTTTCCATTTTAACTAGTTTTAAGAACAGTTATGTTGCAATGTAAAGATGGGAAAACAGAGAAAAATTAGTAGCTAGGGAAATCGAAAGAACTCTTTCAAAACTACTCTAGAGACTTTTGAAGAAAAAAACTTGTATTCTTCTTTCATCCGCGCGATCTCAGGCTTTTGGATTTAAGTTAAGCTTTTCAATTTACGTTCATGTTTTTTTACCATTATTTTCCACTCGTATAGGGTCGTCAATTCAAATTAGTCTTTCAGTGATCAAAACTGATTTTCAAACCTTCTCTTCACCACGTTTGACTATTTATTTTCAAACGGTGTGGAAAGAAAGTAAACAGTACAATAATCTATTTACGTTTATTTTCTAGCCATGTTTAGGGCAAAGAACTATTTGTTGCCTGAAAAGAGAAAAAAAAGATTCGTTTGGGTTATTTCTGTTGCTTAGCCTGGCTGCATGTTGCTAAGGATTGTACACCATTGTTTTGCATTAAATAATATTCCAAAGACACGTATTTCATATTTTAGTAAGTTTTTGGTCTTCACAAACTTTACATTTTCTATATTAAGCCGCTTATAAAAACTTTAAACTTTAACAATGATTATGCATCAAGAAGCAATCTTTTGTTGTCCAGATATGAGATACTTGTTTTTAAAGTACCAAATAGGTTAATAAAGCTCAATTTTCGAAAATTTTTACATAGGAGCGAACCGATTGTCGATTCTCGTTATTTTACCGCGGAAAGTCAGCGGCTGTGTCACGGCTGATATAGCACAGACAGACGGTCTGATAAATAAATATACACCAACAAATCTTTCTGCATAGTCCATTTCCTTCCTAAATCGCAGCAGGCGACGGACTGTATCTCGCATTTTGGACATTTGACAAAGGAGAGATTCAGGGAAGAATTCAAGCGACACGGCCTTAAAAATGCCCTGTGCATAATTCACTTTCTATTTCCGTGAGACTATTTTTACGACGAGGGCCATCTCGTAAATGAGACTCAAGTTTCAATTAAAAACACAACGTTGGCCAGGTATTTTCTCATACACACCGGGGGGGGGGGGGTTAAGCCAATATTTCAAAATTTTCCAGCAGTCGGAAGGTTGTTAAAATTAAATACTTCCAGTGATTCATTATCTTCCTCCAATGCGGTGCATTAGTTTAGAAAGTACCAATAATTAATTTCAAAGTTTAGAAGTAGAATTCGTTGGGGAATACATATCTAAATATTTTTCTTTGTTAACTTTTGTGAAAAGTTAGGAGGGTTTTATGTGTGTTCAGCGATAGTGATATCTACTTTTATACCAACGGCTTAAGCTGCACCTAGCGTATGGTATTTCATAAGAATAGATAAAATAAATTTAAATCTTTTTATTATATTTATTATTCCCTTTATCTTTCGGGAGAGTATGTTCAATCTATCTTCGTGTCTCCTGCTCTGCTTCTTTCTAATCACTTTTTATTTTAAAAGCAAATGTAGCACGCAATGATGAAAGAAGATCCAGACATAGTCTTAAAAAAAATAGTTCTGATATTTGGCCGAAATTGTGCATAGCCGCCCTTATATAATCTAGACAGAATTATTATTATTTTTTAAAATTTAATTTCTTAAATTCATTAATTTCGTGGTCCGCTAGACCAATTAATATATTACAATTAAGGTTTTTAGTTGAGATAAAAAAGTCAATGGCACGAGCGGGATTCGAACCCACGATCTTCGGCTAGATACGCCGCTGCTCTACCACTTGAGCTATCGTGACTTTGATCCACTCGGACACCAACTTCCTATCTCAACCCCATCTTTTTTCAAAACCTTAATTAATTGAAAAGAGTTTATTTGGTCAAGCGGACCACGAAACCTAATAAATTTAATAAGGAAAATGAAGTATACTTCACAAAAGCTCTCCGTTGCTATTTCATTTGTCGCCGAGAATCAAATAGATTACAAGACAGCCAAGTCAGTATCACAAGCGGGAATCGAACCCGACTCTAATAATGGCAAAAAGGAGGGAAAATTAAAAAAAATGGTGTGGTTGAGATGGGAAGTTGGTGTCCGAGTGGATCGAAGTCAAGATTTAATGATTAAAATGAAGTACACTTTACTAAAGCTCTCCGTGGCCATTTCATTTGTCGTTGAGAATCCAATCCGATTACACGACATTTGAAAAATGGCAAAAAGGAGGGAAAACTCAAAAGGTGGGGTTGAGATGGGAAGTTGGTGTACGAGTGGATCGAGGTCCCGATAGATCAAGTGGTAGAGCAGCGGCGTATCTAGCCGAAGATCGTGGGTTCGAATCCCGCTCGTGCCATTGACTTTTTTATCTCAACTAAAAACCTTAATTAATTAAAATTTAATGTTTGATTCTATTAAATTTCTAATTATTTTGTCCCTTTAAAATTATGCATTAAATTGTATGAAATCATCAGTGTTAAAGAAAACTAAATATTTGGTTGCAGGTTTAAGCAATGCAAGAAAACAGACCAAAAAGGAATTCTTGGAGAAGATGTATCTCTTATGAAGATGTAGTTAATCGGATTTCCAACTTTTATTATCTTTTATCATGTTATTCTTAACTATCCACATATTCAATTTTTCAACGAGATTTTTTCAAAAAGTAACATTTGTGTCACAGGCGGTTTTCGAACCCATTACCTTCGGCTCAATGCGATGCTGCTCCAACCACTTGAGCTACCTTGACTTCGATCGCCCATGCCACAAATTGGAATAAAATGGGAAGTCGAAATGATAAGTTTGTGGTTTGGGTGATCGAAGTCACGGTAGCTCAAGTGGTTAGAGCATCGGCGTATTGAACCGAAAGTCGTGGGTTCGTAAACTAACTGCCTGTGACACGAATTTTTTCATTTCGAAAAGAAGAATTAATTGAGTAACTGGATTACTACTTGAGGACAGCGCAGCGGCGAAACTTTAATTTTTTCCAGAGAACTTTTGGTCCGCTTAATTTCGCTGTTTTGATCTGCCAAGAGCGTTTCGGCGTTTCGCCGTCTTTAGTCGTTGGTCAGGGTTTAAATAGGGGGAGGCAAAACGGAAATTTCATACCAAATAAAGAAAGGCATCTGGTATCAGCTAGGATGGTGTTTTATGTTGTTGTCATGCTTTTCCTTTTGGAATTTTTGCGTTAGAATGAAATTTGAACTTCTATTTAAGAATAATTAATCAAAAAAATTGTGAGTTTTCCTTTGAAGAATGCGGCTTGAAGGTTGTTATCGATCAGCCGGGGGTCAACCTACTCTCGTAGTTTTGGTCTGTGAGACACTTTTTGGCATTTCATCATCTTAAGATTATACGCAGGTTAAGAATACGTTCTCGATTCAATGGGAATGTATCCTAAGACAGAGGCATGCAAAAAAGTTCATCATATGTCTATCGCCATAACTAACACAGAATTACTTTTAAGAAAATAAAACGATACAATGACTCAGACTGGACACTGCAGACTCCGGAGGTATATATTAGACTTGAAGCACTTGTAGCAGAAACAAGCCTTTGTGATACTGCCAGGAAGAAGAAGAAACAGCGAAACATGTCAACAGTTGGTACAAAATCTTATGCCGTCTTTGATAGGCAGAATTAGCAAAATTGATTTGTATTACTTAAAGCATATAAAGTTGATGGCTCAAAAAAATATTAACTATTTTGTAGGAAAGTTATTCGGGTTTGAATAAACGAGTAGAAAGACTCGTTGTGTTCAACGCAGCGGTTTACCGCAAGAAATATATTGCCGAAGCAGATTTTTACGGCAGAACCACCAAGGAGAAGGCAGACGGTTTTTATCGCCGTTTCTGCTCATTCCCATTTGTTTAATCATGTCAGAAATGATAAACATTATAAAACTATATCTTTCCAAAGGTTATTAATTAATTAATCTAATTGATATTTTTTTAACGAAACACCCCTTGAATCGTTCTATCCTGCCGTCTATTTTATTTAAAAAAGAGAATTGTAGAAATAAAATTGTCTTGTTTGGAATGGAATAGGATTTGTTTTGTCGATCCCAAATATCTTAATCAGGTCAGACTATATATACAGTCACTTTCTAAAGCCCTTAGATTCCAATATAACTATTTTTAACGCTTCTATATACAATTTCCCACCCCTAGTGTACTTAAAAGAAACTATTGTAAATTGTGTCTTCTTCGATAATGAAATCATTATCCAAGGAAAAGGACAAAGCTTTTAATGTGGTTGTTATGTTGACAACCTAAATATTTAACGTCCAACCAATGCTATTATATACAAAGGTTTATTTCAAAAATATCGTTAAAGGGTTAATTGAAATTTGTTTAGAAGTGTCGTAGTGACTACCCCAATAGGGTTTCAAGTGGTAAAAATTAACCCTTGATAATAAAATGCAAAGAAATGGACTCACATTTACGATGGATCTGACCACAGGGTCTTCCATCACACCCTTCAGAAACAGAAAATCGGTCTCCTTCGCACCCGGGATCTTCTCCAACTCGTACCTCTCCATTTGGCCTATTCTGTCCATCGCCTCTGCAACAAAGATCAACAAATTGTAAACCGAGCCAAGCTACACCCTCAAATAAGATACAAAGAGGGAACACTTCTCTTGATGAAAAACGTATTTTCTACAAGGTCTAGATTTTTTATGATGATACTAGGATTCAAGGAAAGATCTTCGGCCTCGAACTTAATTTTTAAGCATTTACCTTGACTCAAAGCGGTCCGAAGTCTGTTTGGCACTGACTCAGGTACGGAAGAATGGGGTTTAATTGGACTATATAGTGGGAACAGGTGGTCCTTTTTTCCCACATGGGGAAAGGAGAATAGCGAACTGAGGCCGTCTTCGGCTAGAACCGAGACGTCACTGCTTGTACCGGCCTCGTCGATATATTTTTCGTGCGTGACGATGAGCTATCCACGGCTCCCCGGGATCATCTCTAATCCAAGTTTTGATGAACGGTTCTCGTTTCAGTAATGGCAAACTTTCCGTGACGACTGGTTGACACGGTGGGTAAACGACTTTCCTCTCTCTAATGAGACTACTTCCAGCTTAGCGATTAAGTTCAGATGTACATTAATTTAATCTTGTTGAGGGTTCTTAGAGAAGAACCTATAGCTAGATCTGCTTATCTTATCCTATTTTGCTCCTTTCAAGTTTTTTATTATTTAAAGTGCACATTTACTTTATGTTCAAAACAAACGTGATGACTCTTTTCGCATATTGTGATTACAATGTGCTAACACCAAAGATGGATAATTGTCTATCAATCAGATGCCATCTTAACAAAAACCACTTCAATAAGGCTCTTTCACCCGTCAACTGTTTACAAACGTTTAAAAGAACTGTCTAAATAAGACTCAAAACATGTCATCCAAAGATGGCGAAAAACCGCGTAGAACAGGCCAAATCAGCGAGGATGGGCAGCCCAAAATGACCGGAGACTACCAGGAAGGTTCTTCACCCCGCAAAACTCAATAATTAATTAAATTCATTAGATTGCGTGGTCCGATTGACCAAATAACATCTTTCAATCAATTAATCTTTTTGTAAGGTATTGGTCGAGATAAAAAGGCAGTGTTACGAGCGGGATTCGAACCCACGACCTTCGGCTAAATACGCCGCTGCTCTACCACTTGAGCTATCGTAACTTTGATCCACTCGGACACTAACTTCCCATCTCAACCCAACCTTTCAAATTTTCCCTCCTTTTTGCCATTTTTCAAATGTCAATAATTAATATAATCGTACAACTTAAAATTTAAAATATTTCGGCCAAATGTATTCATTTTACTTTATTAATAGTATAGAAGCTAAATATTCCATTTGGAGTAAAAGAGGTGCATATTCAGGTGTGTACATTGAATTAAGCGGATTAAGAATAGTTATTCAATTTTATGGAATTAATTATTTTTAATTTTCACTTGGTTTAAGATTGTGTCAATATCATGATTAACATTGGTAACGAATTCTGTTCAACCTCGAGGAGTAATCTTCAAGTATCGCCGCAATACCTATTTTTATGAAAAAATTTACCTAGGCTTTGTATTTACTATTTTTAGAGTTACACCCACTAAACTTCACAAAAAACCAATTTACATTTCCAGGAAAAGACAATAGACTGGCTTTGCCAATTTAAGCATTCCCTCGCCCTCTGATTTAGGGATGTTACGTGATTCACAGCTTCGGGCCAAAAACAGAATAACATTTCTTCAGCCTATAAAAGCATCGAATAAAGCAAGTTTCACTAGGGTAGTGTAATAACAAACAAACACGTTCAAAAGGTTATAAAACAGCGGTGACTTGGAAAAATACACACCGTCTTTGGCCTGATGCTCATTCAAAAGAGAGATAGAGAGAGAAAACACGGTACAAGACAACGGCACAATCTACGATGTGATGTTTCGTAATTAATTAATTACAATTAACCTTTCTTTGACGGCCGTCTACGGAACGGGATTATTAGAAAACACAATTCCTATAAATAACGATGCTTTTTCAAATCGGCTATCAAAAAGATTGAGTGCAATCCAACGTCTGGGATGTTTGTGTTCACGACGATCGAAGGCGATCAATCATCCAGTTCGGACTGGGTTTATTTTCGAAAAAATGTCCGAGATTATTTCGAGGCACGTCTGCCGACGAATTCTCACCACGAGTGAGAACATTTCCTTAGGATCGTTCATTTATTAGTTTAAAAAAGTTTCCTTACATCACATAAAATATTAATTATTTGACTTTTAGATCAAATTATCTTATATTCCAATAAGCAAATTATATTTTTTTTTACTTTAGTCCTCATAATTCTAAGAATATAACTTTTGACTTACATGAGGAAATTGAGGATCGGATATTCTACCAATTGATTTGATCGAAACTTTTTTTTTAGTGATAATAGGTCAAAAAATTCACATGTTTGAGTGTCCGAGCGCTTTTGCCAATCTAGCCTAAGAACCAGTTAAATTAATTAATTTTGGAAATTATTATCTATCAGTAGATCAGTAGACGTCAAAATTGTATATGGTAAATAGCCAATGTATTAGTATCGTACATATACATAATTTAAGACTGAGTATCGTACAAAAGTAGGTTATAATAATAAAAAAAATTAGCAAAAAAAAATTTCATATTTTTTATGCACAACAACAAGAAAATACCTATCTTTGTGTAAAAAATTTTTCTCAATTTTTATTTGTATTTGATTTGTGTATAAAATTTCTGATTGAGCGAAGATGGAGGAGGTTTCAGTGTGAAAGAGTGTGGCCACTGAGCAACTACTCCAAGAGACGCAAATGACTAATTCATTCTATATGAACTTATTTATTTAATATAATATTTGTAGTTGTAAATATCAAGTAAATTTAATAAAACAAAAAATCTAATCAATATCATGTTGATAAAGCCTGAAAGTAAAAATATTTCTCTTTCCAAAGGTCGTAAGGACAATTTTAAACACACCCGGACATCAGAGAGAAAAAATACTCTGACACATCAAAATTGACTAGTTTTTAGACTTGTTATAAAAGTTCGTATTGAAAGGCTTTAAAGGGTGCTTAAAATTGATCGAAAAATTGTTTAACGTACTTCACCATCTTCGGTTTTGGGTCTGCGTTAGTTTTGTGAAGTCACGTTGCTTTTATAATGTCATGAGACTCCTTCGATTTTTTCAAACATGTTGCTATAAGTTCAAAGATGAGAAATGCAGCTTTCATACTGTCGTAATACTGACATTGGGCATTAGACAAAATCCGGGGCTATGAATTTTTATGTATAACACCGGCCATCATAAAAATAAATCGTATGCTTAAAACGAATCTGAATTATATTTTGAAGCTTTGGCAACTTTTTATACTAATATTATCTAAGAATTATCTAATCTCAATTAATACAATAGATATTATATTGTATTTCTGGTAGAAAAAAAAGAGAAAGAGAGGGAGAGAGAGTGAGAGGCAGAGATAGCGAGAAAGAATGAGAGGAAAGAGAAAGATAGCGAGAGGAAAGAAAGTGAGTTAGGCGAGAACGAGAGGGAGTGAATGTGAAAGGAGACAGAGTGAGAGGAAAGAGAGAGATAGTGAGAGGAGAGAAAGTAAGTGTGAGATGAGACAAAGTGAGAAGAAAGAGAGTCAGAGGGAAAAAAGAAAAAAATCTTGTTTATAAATAATTATTCTATATTTAGTGGGATTTAAAAAACAAAGCTCAAGATTTATATGATGCATAGAATCAGGGCAAAATTATAGCGGACGCAATAATTTAGAAAATAAGTCTTTTTCTATATAAAAAAAAGTTTAAAATACTTTTTGACCTATTACAATATAAATTCACTTTTTACTAGTGTTCGCCACAGCAGAGGCCATATAAACCCTCATTCTTTTTTGTAAAGGTTCTTCTTAGAGAATTAAGCAATAAGTTGTGTAATAATTTGTTTATGGTCAGTCCATGCTGCAGATCGGCATCCATAAACATATTACATGAGAGCTCATAAAACATTATTTTTAGTTTCTCACTTTATGCTATAGACATAAAGATTTATTATAATTATTTTTATAATTATTTTTTTAATTTTGTGATTTATGGTGATAGTATACTAAATAGAGTAGGTCGATATATTATTTTCAGGGGGAAATTATAAAATTTGCAAAAATTGTTAGGCAAAAACATTAAACAAAATTACTTAAGTTTTTCAAAAGAGCTTCATTATTTCAAAAGCTGTATTATTCGTGAAGCGTTGTAAACTTTTGATAGTTAAATGTCGTAAAAACCTTATCCGATTTAAAACCAGTTTGGAAATTTTTATTTGTTCCCAGCGATCGGCCCCAATAAATTTGCAATAACAAATACCTACTTACGCTCTTTAAAAATCATAAGTAACAAATGAACTTTTTTTCTCAAATTAATATAATTACTAACCGTCTTTCCGTCAAAACTGATTCGGCAGTCGACCACCACCAGGATATCCAAAATTACCGGTCACCCAGAGATGAGACTGAGTTCTATTGCAGTCCCACCGACACCTCTACTGTCTCGTTTATGGTATTTTTAGTCTACGGATTCCCCTATGACTTGTAAACTAACGTAGTACGTCTGAACGGCGCGAATAAATTTCCTACCCCAACGTCACGTCGTTTAATATACAATTTAACACGAGGGAGATTTCTCCGGATCCGAAGAATAACAACCGAATTCCCATACAAAATGCTATAAACAGAATTAGAAAAATCAAGCTAGTTTCTTCTTCTTAATTCACCATAAAACATGCAATTTTTATAAATTACTTTTTCTTAATTTGCGTCCAATCAAGAACGACATTATTCAAGAATAATATGATTTACTGGAGAAACTATCGAAATAAAAAAATAAAAAAAAGGACGGTAGATTCAATAATATGTATATAATATATATGAAAAATGACACCTGTTGAACGTTTTCATGTGTAAAATTGATGGTTTCCGTCACAGCCAGGGCCAAAATAGTTTTTGTAATTTGGTCTTTCTTCCAGCTTTGGTATGTCAGACGTTATTCAGTAATTCGC